TTCTTTCTTTCTTTTTTTTTTTTTTTGAGAGAGGTTTTTGCTATAGGGCGTGTGCGCTCACCACAAAGACAGAGAGAGACAGAGAGACAGAAAGCGAGAAATCACACCCCCCCCCATCCCCCCGGGGGGTGGCCATGCCGCAATCCCTTCTCCTCCATTCTCCTCTCGGGATCTTGGGCACGCACGCACATGCGCCCAGCGTGAGTTTAAGCCACTGGGTCCGGTACTCAAACCACAGTCGACTACATGGGAGTCCAGCGACCATAACCATTGTGCTAACTGCCGGTCCCTAGACCCTTCTTGTCAAACGTCTGTTATACCAGGACAGACATCACAAGATCTTAGAGATCCATGACATGACTCTGTGTACACACATGTATTTTCTGTGGAAGAATGGTCCAGCACTTTTTTCAGATCTCTCAGTGGGACAGGATAGTCAGAAAGGTATTTTTGTCCAGTTCAGGAAGGTGGATTGAGCTGAGGAGTTCCAGTTCTTTTCAAGGGACAGAAAATGGGCAAGAATTGCAAAGTAATACCTCCCCCCCACAAAGAAGAAGCATGTGGCAGTTTCCCTGAGGTTACTGTGCAGTGCACAGCCTTTGTGATAAGGAGTCTCAGCATTAAGGAGATTGGAACTTCCAAGCCAGAGACTTTAACTGTGAAATGAATCTGGTTGATGGGCCAGCCCTACAGTCTAACATCTGCTACTCATTAGAAGGACCAAGAAAGGGTGGGTATTTGAAGGGAGGTATGAGACTTGCAGGGTAAATTTGGGTGTCCTTTATTTATCAGATCTATATCTAAAATGTCTTCCCCATGGAGGTAAACAAACACAAATCATTGCCAAAATATTACAAATAGAAAGTAATAGTCCCCATGAATTCTGTTCACCAAAGCTCATTTCAAAGTAAAAATTACATTTGAAATACCTTTATTATTTTTTTTAAGAATGATTTTATTTAACTTTATTTATTTATTTATTTATTTATTTTTACCTTGGTCAGAGAGGGACAGAGAGAGAGAGAGAGAGAGAGAAAAAGAGAGAGCAGCCGCCAGGTCTGTGACTTGAACCTTGGTCAGCCATGTGGGAGTACATTAACCACCACACCGCCCGCTGGCCCCTAAAATAACTTTAAGTTCTATGTTGATTATAATTGTATTTTCTGCATTATAAGAATTGAAAAGATAGGCAGTACACACAAGTATGAAGAGGGAAAGACACACCTATAATCCCACATTTTTCTCTGTATGTAGAAACCAAAAATGGACTAGTACTACGCATGGTTGGTTATAATCAAGACCCTTGTAAAGACCATATGAAAAGAAAAACAAATTTTCTATGTACATGTTAAAGAGAATGAATGTTGTATCTGCTCTTAACCTTTCCCAAATCTGAAAATCTTCAGCAGATTTCCCAGAGAAGCTAGAGGTTAGGCATAGCCCTTCTAGGGCAGAAATCAGTACCTGCCCTCAGAGCTGAACCCGTTTGCTAGGAGAAGACGCTGTTGAAAGTCTGTGGAGCTGGGGTCATTTTTCTCTTCTCTTCTCTTTTCTTCTCTTCTCTTCTCTTTTCTTTTCTTTTCTTTTCTTTTCTTTTCTTTTCTTTTCTTTTCTCTGCACGTCTTTCCTTTCCTCTCCTCTCCTCTCCTCCCTTCTCTTCTCTCTCTTCTTTCTTTCTTCTTTTTATTCTTTTTTTTTTTTTCTGTGTTATGGAGTGTGTGCACTCACAAGTGAGGGGTGGAGAGAGAGAGAGAGAAGGCATCCCCAGGTGGGATGGCCACACAGCAATTCCTTCTTCTCCATTCTCCTTTTGGGGTTTTGAGCATACACCCATATATACCTGGTGGGTTTTTTGTTTTGTTTTATTTCTAATGCTGCTGGTCCAGGACTCAAACCATGCAGTTGACCACATAGGACCTGGCCGCCTTAACCACCATGTCACCAGCTGGCCCAGAGCCAGGTTCTTTTTCAAGTCTTTGGAACGCTCATCCATCTGGGTCTAATCAGAGCACTTTGTTCTTAAAAGAGAACAGTGGTGATGTGGGGTTAGGAGAGTGAGGTTCCTCATTCAAACGACAATGTGTTTTTTTGACATCTTCATCAGAATAGATTGCCCCCTTGAATCTGAGTGATTTAGTTGTAATTTTACCAAAACCTTTATGCTAGCTTAGAATAATAGTCCTCATATTTCTCCTACAAGCACACTAGGTATCTGAGTTTAAATGGTGTATCTCACCTTCATGAAATACATGCACATTTTTCCTCAACTTTTCATTTTTGCCAAAACCTGTACTCAAAGCTGTAATAGCTCTGTCAAGAGTGAATGAAGTTTCTGTCCTCCTTTGATTTTCTTTAGGTACTGGTTTTAAAGGGAAGACTAAAAGGAGAGGATGTAGAAGGGTCTGAGTGAAAGGGACTTTGGAACTTTCCAGAAAAATTCTGGGAAGGGAGCAAGGAGCAACTGTTTGCTAGGAAGGACTGTAACACCTGATCGTAGATTTTGGGTGCTAAAAAGAATGTTAGAGAACTAGAATACTTGAGATTTTATTTTATTTTATTTTATTGTCATAGGGTACATATACTTGCCAGAGAGAGAAGAGAAGGAGAAAACACCCCTCCCCCCAATGGGGTGTGATCACACTGCAATCCTTTCTCCTCTATTTCTCCATCCTGTTGGGGTTTTGGGCACACAAGCTCATGGACCTGGCATGTTTTCAAGCCCCTGGGACTACATAGTCAGCCGTGTGGGATCCAAGTCCCTTAACCACCAGGCCACAGGGCGCTCCCATTGAGGCTGAAGATCTTATAAACTCCTTTAAAAACATGAGCTAGACAAGATCTATAAGAGAGACTAGAGGGGCTGGCAGGTGGTGTGATAGTTAAGGGCGCTGGACTCCCACATGGCCGACTGTGGTTCAAGTCCTGGACCTGGTGGCTTGCTTTCTCACTTTCTCTCTCTCTCTGTCCCTCTCTCTGTCCCTCTCTGGTCAAATTAAAATAAGAAAATAAATAAAATGAAATGAAATAATTATTAAAAAGAGAGAGAGAGAGAGATTGGAGATGTCCTTCCTGTTTTCTACTCCTTTATGGCATCTTTTTTTTTCCATTTAATTTTATTTATTATTAGTATTTTTTAATTTGACCAGAAAAAGGGAAAGTGAAAAAGCAAGCTGTCAGATCCAGAACTCAAACCGCATTTGGCCATGTGGGAGTCCAGCGCCTTAACCACCACACCACCTGCCAGCTCAGCCTTTTATGATTTCTTAGGCATATAAATATAGTGACATGGCATCTGTTGGGTAGGAGGCAAGATTCCAGGATTTTTATTTTGAATGAGGGAGACTAAACATCTGGGATTACCACAGCCTCTAATTGAAGAAAAGAAAAACTAAAATGGTTTTATTTCCCACCATTTTTCCTCCCACTAGGTTTTGCTCTCCATTCAGCTGCCAATCCAAAGAATGTTTTATAAATAGGTAGGGTCTTTGCTGAGCAGGTTTTAGTGAACAGGAACTTCTTTAGTCTTTTGAAATATAACTGGAGCCCTTCCCCTTTTAATACGACTTGGACTTTAGGCAAGTTGCAAATCTAAGGCAGACCTCCCCCCCGCCCCCCAGACTTCAACCCATATATAAAGTTTGATCTTGCTTTTCAACCAACAGAGAAGTGTCAGCAGTTCAGAGGTGAAATGTAATTCCAGTCAAATTGCTTAGCCAACCCTGGAATTTGATAGAAAATGGTCAGATATGGAGGATCTATTGCTGAGTGAAGTAAGCCAGGCTATGAAAGAAAGATATTGTATGTATCCACTCAATATATACCGACTATCCGCACTCTATAATAGAGAGCAAAAATTCGGAGGACATAAAAACAGTGAAGGTACTTAATGAGAATAGGACAGTGTGGAATGGGGTAAGTGAAGAGAAGAGGATAGAGAAAGATAGCAAGTGAACAATAGAGAGACAGGACGTTAGTGAGAAACAGATAGGGGTTATTAACTGTTGATGATGACATGTATAGTATTCTCAACTGGATTGGTCTGAGAAGTATTTCATGATGGGCAAAGTGTTTTTACAAGCAAAACGAGAAATAGCAATTGACTGTTTTATAAAAATAATTAGAATAATAAAAATAATGATTGGGGAAAACAGAAAAGATATGGAATGTTGAAGTGGGGAGATTAATGTCTCTGTACTGACTGACATGCATGGCATTCCCTTTTGAAAAAACAATGTAATACACTGTAAAGTTATATGTAATCCAATGTAATATAAAGAAGATTATGATGATAATAAAAATAAAAATAAATTAAAAAAAAGAATAACAAAAAAAAATATTATAATTCCCTACCTACCCAAAAAAAAAAAAAAAATTGCTTAGCCAAGAATTCTGGAGGCCCTTTCTATGAGAGTTTTTTTATATACATGTAAGTACCCGTGCACAAATAATGCTAGGCATGATTTTTTAAAAATCTAGCCTCTGTTTCTTATAGTCTAGAAACACCAATGTCAAACCCATGGAGAGGAGTGAAGTGTTGCATTGTTAAAAATGCAAGACATGGAATCCCAAGGACCATTTTTAGTCCTGATTGTATTTCTTTCTGAATATTATAGCCTTCCAGTTAAGCCCCTCATGGTATTTTGTGTCACATATTTTTGTCAAAAAATGAGGATGTTAAAACTGATAGATCTGCAATAAACGAGCCTGGTATCTGAGTCGAGAACCTATGATGAAAATTGGATTTGTTTTCCGCTACAGCCCAGAGAGCAGTATGGTTTGTGATTATGTCTTTCTATCTGGCCCGCCCTTCTATCTGTCTGCCAATCACCTGGGGATTTATCTGCATTCAGCATTAGCTGGAGAAAGGTGGAAGCCAAAATGTTGTTGATATATTTATGTATGTGTACACAGAAGTGCTGAACAAAGACAAGCTGGTGGAAAACGCCCACTCAGGGAACCAGTAATAATCTTCTCTTCTTGCCCCTCTCGCTTGCTTTCAGCAACCACTGGAAAGGAAGGACAGCCAGAATAGTTCTCAGCACAGTGTCTCCAGTCACCGAAGCCTGCACACGGCGTCCCCAAGCCACAGCACACAGGTTCTCCCGGAGTATTCACCTGCAGAGGCCCCAGCTCCTGATCAGACCGACAGCTCTGGGCAGAAAAAACCAGATCCTTTTAAAATCTGGGCCCAGTCCAGGAGCATGTATGAAAACCGACGTGAGTAATGCCCTGGTTTCTGTCTTCCCCAGACCCCGCCCCAGAGCTCTAACTTTCTTTCAAGGCTTCTTGAAAATAGAAGAGTTTCATTGTACAAACTAAGTAAAGGGAAGTCAGGGTGAGAAGGGAAAGCTTCTGGAGGGGGTAAAGCCTGCAGGATATTCACGGAGGCTCCACTATGTCATCAGTTTGGAGAGGGGCTAGAAATGGACAGTCATCCAATAAATGGCCTGAATAGAAATGGATTTCTTTTTCCCTTCAGTTAAAGGAAGTGGCAGATAAGAGCTGCTGTCTCATTAATTCTTCCCCGAGTAGAGACTGGTGTGCTCCGAGCTCTTGCCTCATGAAATAGCCCTGATATACAATAGAACATAAATGTGATTAATGCAGATTGTAGGGGTAATGGGGAGAAATTAAATGCTTTCTCAGTGGCCTCTTGGTTTTTTAAAATATTGGTAATTTTTTTTTAGCCATTACCAGGCTTTCTAAACATTCCTCTCAAAAAAGGGGAAAAAAAATCCCAATAGCAAGTGGTTTGTGCTTTAATTATTTATACAGAGGTTAAGTGTGTTCCTTTGTCTTTATATTTTCTGTAAATATGAACTGGTGATGGTATATTTGGTAACTTCTTGGGTCTTATCAACCTATTTTCTTCACGTTAAATTATTTACTTTCTATTCTCAAATGCCTTCCAAAGACTGTTTACCATCAGTAATACTCATTTGTCAATACTTTAATTTTAGTTGATGTAAAATGTGTTGGGGTTTTTTGTTCTTGCTGTTCTGTTTTCAGATGAGCACAGAGTTCAGGGTGAAGCAGCTCTGAGGTACACACCTCATTTTTTCTTTTTGGCATGGGATAGGAGAGAACATGTTACAAGGAAGGACACCTGATTTGTTGCAGGGTCTGTGAGAAAGTGGAAGATAGAGTGGCCATTTTGCTCATTCTTGTCCCTGCATCCCCTCAGCACATGTTCCATTCCTGGCTACAGCTGTGTTACCGCTCATGCAGTCCCCCAGCGAGTTGTGGCACAGAGGTTGTGTGAGGTATGGTGTGGGTGCCTAGCCTCTTGCCCTCTGTTCAGACTTGGCCAGGCTGAAACTTGCTAGATGAAGCTCATGTTGGGAGACTTCAACTCCCCTGTGACCCAGACCAAACAGGGCAGTACAACCAGTGTCCCTGCCACCGAAGGAAAGACAGTGGCTACCCCAGTGGCCTAGTGTCTTGCTAATTACCAGATGTTAGAAGATGCTCAGGAATGTCTTTCCTTTTCCTTCTCCAGGGAGAAATAGCATCACCCCTTACTACAATAAGGCATACATTAAACAGGCTCTTTTGGCTGAGAGTTCACTAGGCTGGCACTACCAGCTAATTCAAGAAGGGATTTATTTAGTCCCTGGACAAGAAAGAAACCCTTAAAGTACTCTCAGGCCAGGCCAAAGGAAATGAAGTCCCATTGCACACAGTAGACACGAAGAATGAAGATGGAGTCTTTCTTTGTTGTGTCATCTCACTAATCACAGTGTTTCAGCTTAAGAAAATGATGGGGAAATGTTTCCCAGAGAGGAATATTTTCACGTTTTCTCTAACCACGTGGCTCCTCTAATCAATGGCCCAACATCAGTTGATGTGGAGATACTGCTTTATTGACCATGTTCCCATTTTCCTCAATACAGTACCCATTTATGATTGAGTTTTCCATGTCTAAATCCTTTTTATGCTAAAATTAATCACGTTCTGAAATGCTGATGGGGTCATTGAACTGACAGGACAATTCAGAAGAATCTATTTAATAGGACACTCTAGTTCAAATGCTCTTTCACCCTGGAGAAGTAGGCTTTCTTAAGAATTTGGTAGTTTGTACAGTTTCTTTTCCAGTTTTCAAGAACAAAAAAAGATTTTTTAGATATATAATGTGGCCATAGCCAGCAGTCGTAAGCATTGAAATTGCTCAGAGGGCCGCCAGACTGAATATTTAGCATGGTGCCAGTTTTGTTCCTTCACTGGTCTTTAACATCTGAGGAATGAGATATTGCAGCACAAATGAGAATCAATTTCTTTCTGGTGATTGGAGACTTTGTAATTGAGTGATAGTAGCAACCTAATTGACGCTAAGAGTCTCATGGATTTCTTCCTCACTACTAAATGAAGATAATGATGAGGCTTTTCCCAAAGGTAATTATTCAGTATCTATCATGGGTTTTCTTTTCACAGTACCTACGAATGAACTTGCATCAATCTTGCCTTTGAATCAGTATCTCCCTTTACCCTAGATCAGTTTCTGGCATTCACCTAGGTGGTTTTGTATCTGATTTTGGGGGTGGGGGATAAATACAGTAAACACAGTATATAGTCTCATTAGATGTGATTCCCTATCCCTCTCCACAAAGGCATAGAAAAGTGAGCAAAGTATTCCAGGAAAAAAAAAAAGAAAAGAAAAAGAAAAATTGAAATCAGCAATGCTATCTTAACTGTTTCATATTGTCCCATTTTTGTTGAAGATACATTCTTTTTATATTTCATTTTATTATTGGGATAATGTGACAATTAACATAATCTCTGACCACATTCCTTCACACAATGTCAATGTTTTCTAAAATACCATGTTCTTGATATGGCCATCTGTCAAAACAGCAGCATGAAAAGGAATTCATCTAAATTACAGATGTGTTAATGAATCCTTTTCAAGGGTTTTGATGTTTAATTCAAAACAAAGACAAGTATCAGAGTCCTTAAAAGCCAGGTTGCCTGTTTGGTATTTTCCTCTCGGTAACATACCAGCTGTATATATGTCTTATAAATGACATCGATACACTCTCCCTCGTGTATGTCCAGGGAAAATCAACTATTGTAAATAGCATTTACTACCAAACAAAATTCTAAAGCTTGTATTTGAAACTTTGTGTGTTCACAATATAGTTTGAAAAGATAAAGCCTCAAGGCTGTCATATTAACCAACATTGTAAACCTGTCCTGCTTAGGAGAGAAATGCTTCCAAGTTTGGAACTGGTAATTGAGCTCCTTTATCACAGTGAGTTCAAGGAGCTTGGATGTTCTTGATTTTAGGAGCTATTATGACAGTTGCTATTTGTGTGTTTGTTCAGTCGTTGGACAGATCCAATGATTTGCATCTCTAAATATAGACTATTCTGGTTGGAACAGCCTAGAATTCACCTGAACAAGTAATAAATAGTACAAGAATGGATCCCATCAGAAATTTTATACCAGTGGCACAAATTTTTTTTTTTTTTTCAAAAGGCACTAAAGATTTAGACAGACCTACAGTTCATGACATGATTGAAACAAGGTCATCTAAGAATGTGAACTTTGGGGTACAATTAAACATGACAAGTCTAAGATGGTGATAGGAGTTACAGGAAACTGTGGTACAACTGGCAATTCTAGCTTTTTGACAAGTAAAGCATTGTGGAGTGGGGAGAAAGAAAAATCAGAATCGAACCATAGTCATCTAAAATCCACCGCAGCCATGACCTTTATTGTGAAAGCTGAACTGCATGTTCCTTCTCGATCAAAACTAAATTAAAATGAACTAAGAGACAGAACGTACATTAAGCTTTACAAAATTGTGAAATTAATATTCCAGCTATGTCACCTTCGCCTGCATCGGGATTGAGCAAGGGTGATAGAGAAAGAGAAATCAATTCCACGAATTTTGGAGAATGTCAGAGTAAGGATCTGCTGAAAACTTTTATTTCTCCATTATCATTCATCCTGTTTGATGTGCCCATCGGTCCAGGGGCCTGGGGAGAAGTTGAGAAAAGGGAGGGAGGAAGGAAGGGCCACTAAGGGAAATGGCAAAAGTTCTTGTTGACCAAGCTGAAGCCAAAGACAAGGTGAAATAGAAAGTGATGTGCATGTCTTTGCAGAGTCTGTCAACGTGTTTTGTTTTTCTTTTTTTTGGGGGGGGGGAGACACCAGGAGGGTTTTCTGCAAACCTGGTGATTTCATTCTTTCTAATTCTCAAAGGAAGTCTTTTGACTGCTTTACTGTGTTGCCATTGACAGTACCTAAGGAGATTAACTGCAGAGATTGTTCCTTATACAAGGGCTTAAAAATGAAGAAAACTGGATAAGATGTTCTTAGGTTTATTTGACTTTGCCTCATTAAAATGAAATTGCGATACTGAGATTAGAAAAATGCCTTTATTCTGCTACCTTCTAAACACTTAATTCTACCAACATCTCCCTGAAGTAGAGACTATACCATTATGGGAGAGAAGTTTGGAAGCCCCACTGCCTCTGTGAAAAAGTGGCATCGGAATACACAGAGAGGAGAGAGTTTGTCATCCCATAGTATGTTTAAGTACTGCTTTATTACAAAAGTTGATATCTGGGAAAATGGCACGAAGTCAAAAAGTAAAATTGATAAAATGCCAAAACTAAAGTAATGGCAGACCGTGTTTGTAACATGTCTATGTCAGTGTTTACGTCCTTGTGCCTGGTTCATCATTGGTGCTGTTGGGCGTATTCCTTCTCAGCTGTAAAGTATGTAAATTCGCCATTTCCCATTGATTCTCAGAAGAGAACAAATGCCTTTTTTTTTCCCCTGTGGACTAAACTGTGATAAGCCTAAGTCTGATAGCCACAGTCGCCCACACCAAGACAGCTCACACCTAAATGAGCAACAGAAGGCAGACACTGCTACGTTTGGTGTCACTGTAGGATGAGCAAATGTTCCCGTGTTAGGTGATGCTGAGAACAATGGGTCTGGGCTGAAGGTCTCTGTAGAGGTCCTGTCATCATTCACAGAGAGGCCACCTAGTCAGCAGACTTAGAGCACTCTGCCAGGAGCCCAGTGCTGGCTAGAAAGCGCTAGTGGTCTATTTTGGTAATAATCCTCCTGCTTGAGTGAACCAAAGTCAGAGACACAACTTGATTTAATTTGTTGTTTCAGTGAGGCCATTATAGCAAATACCCTTTAGCCAGCTCCTCGAACAGAAAGAAAATGTTGTTACCTTAGTGTGCTCAAGAAAACAATATTCTTGTCTTGAGTTTATGGGAGTCCGGTGATATAGCTTAGCACCATGTTCTGTGGGGTTTTGCATTTTGGCTTCAGGAATTATAATAAAAGCATTGGATAAAAAGCACTCCTTAAGATATTTAAACATTGGCATAATGCACGCAAAATGATCAGATTCGAACTCCTCTCTTCTTACCTGTTCATATAGTTTCTCCTCTTTTGGCATATTCATTCACTATATATTGTCGGATTGTGAGTGCATCACCAAAAGGGATATTTCTTGCCAATTCAAAATCTAAATAACTGCCTTCTTCCCTCATTATTACAGATTAGAGAAAATAAAAATTTCTCAGGCCTATATACTCTTTCAGCCCCAAATCCTCAAAGTCTGCAGAACAATATTTAAAAATTTCCCTTAGGATTCACTGCAACCGAAATATATTTTTTCTCTTTAGGTAAAAGATGTATCACTTTATAGGCTGTTAAATATTCTGTATATATGTTAAAACATTAAATAAGAATTAAATAAAAATAACCCTTTTTATTACCTTATAGAAGTAACAAGTAACAGAGTGGTATATAGAACAATTTCACATACAATAAGCATTTTCTTATGAAAAATACTTTTCAAAAAATGACATTTTTGTTTTAAAGCCTGGGACCAGAACTCAGTTTTAAAATAAAATATCACATTATTGGGTAATAAATTAATACTTTCAATGTTGAAATATCACAGGTAAATTCTAGGATCAAGCAGTCATTTCAGCAATGAGATATGATTCCCTAATAATAAAAACTTTTCGAGGCCACTGTTGATCTTTGTTTTTCTAATTTTGCCAAAGTGTAAATGTTCTTGCCAGAGAGAGTCAAAGAGAGGCCCAGGCAGAAAGCACCCCTCTGGGGAGTAGTCATGCTGCAGTCCCTTCTCTGTTTCTCCATTCTTTGAGGATTTCAGGCTCACACATATGCCCCTGGTATGTTTTTCAAGCTGCCAGGTCTGGGACTCAAAGCAATCAGTCAGCTGAATGGGATCTAGCCTTCCTAACCACCGGGCCATTAAGACTGTGGAAGGTTGGCCACTCTTTGGTAATATGTTGAAATCGTAGTAAACTTTGTATCTGAGAGTATTAGGATGTTTGAGAATAACTCTTGGTTAAAACAAGTCCAGTTATCACCACTGGTGGTCTTAACTACTTTAGGGAAGTAAAAAATAACTCCCCAAAATAATTAGAAACTCTTTGGACCCAAGTTTTTTTTTTGTTGTTATCCTGTAGTCCTGTAACAGGACTTACAAATCCTTCCAGTCAGCCTTTGCTTCAGGTTCCTCTGACTGAGCGCGAGTTCTGTTCTTGGTTTGGACACCTATGCGTGGTGTGGTTCTTAGTGATGTCAGCACTTCATTCTCCTTGTGGCAGTACTGAGGAAATCAGTTAGTGCTGACCACTGGCTTAGTTGGGGAGAGTAACTCAGGCTTGATTAGGAGTTGTCAAACAGTAATTAGTCCTTTGGAGAACTGTAGGGCTCAGTGACTCCTCTTACCATGTGCCCTGTCCTCCGTTATTTCACCCATCCAGATTATTTTGTCTCATTGTCTGTGTGGAAAAGTTTTCATCTGCTCAAGCACCATCAGTCTTGGTCCTGTGATTGTGTTCACCTTAGGGGCAGGATTCTTTTTATCAGAAAAATAATCTCTCTTCCTTCTCCCATCTCTGCAGTTCCAGATTACCAGGAACAGGACATCTTCCTCTGGAGAAAAGAGACTGGATTTGGATTTAGAATTCTGGGTGGCAATGAACCAGGAGAACCTGTGAGTCTTTTTTTTTTTTTTTTTTGCCTTTTTCTCCCCAGGGCTATTTTTTGTGTTTTTGC